AAACAATTATATTATAATATGAAAAATATATATTTTATATCTCTTCTAATCTATATGTCAAATATATGCTGGGTTCTGTCCCTAAGCAGAGCAGCTTCAAGAGATCCATAACCTTTAGGCATATGTTTTGTAACCTATAAAAAGGGACGGGGATGGTAGGAGAAAAGCACACAAACTGTATTGGAAGGGGACATGCATTATGTGTGGTTTCCTCCGAGGCTATGTCCCCCTTCCCTATTTTAATTTATAACAAACATAATATATTTACACGGGGTTATAAAGTACAGAATGCTCCACGGTGCGCACTTTGATTAGCTCTTCTTCGGCCCACGATGAATCCTCTCGGCAAATCACAGTCCCACTGGGTCCTCTAGCTGGCACGAGCCTCGTGTGATTCCTCTCAGCACCACACTCACTAGTCTCTTCCAGCCCCGGATAATGGCGATTCCTAATACTGCCACGTCGCAGGCAGGCTAACACACTCATTACACTTCGTCCAGGGGTGCCTCACAGCTTCTGCAGAGCAAACTCGTAAAGACACCTTCAGTACACACTCCCAGGTCGACTCTGTAATCAGACACGTCATTAGTACTGGGACTAGGCCACCTCACTTAGACACAAATGTCCACCGGCTATGTTACGACCTCATCAACACGGCAAACCTGCCCCTGTGGCTGCTATATCCCGTCCTCGCTACATGGCGACGTCAATTTCCAGTGCGTTTCGGGAGCGGACTCACACATGTCGTTGTCGTCACTCCTCCGGGCTACGACTCGGGTCCGTAACACAAGGTCATAGGTATCAGGAACTCTATGAAATGATACATCATAGCAAACCAACAAAATCAATAGGGACACAGTGTGTTCCTGAAAATCATATATACTAACATACATGGAGCAACACTAAAAATACAGGAGATAAATGATATAATACAGCTTTAACATGCCAGATATTGTTGCACTAATGGTCATATCAATTTGAGGGCTACTCAATTTCGAGACATGACATCAATTAGGAAAGGTGCATGTGCTGCCAAAACAACACCTAAAGGTAATCCAATTCATGATCGACATCTCACTAAACAATGCCAAAGGGAACTTTGTAATTGCGATAATAATCAAATGCCTACAGAACACCAGCATGCAACACATGGACAAAGGAGGCCATTCATAGATGATCAAAGACATTATAGTAACAGCTGATATACATCAGGATTGTTGGTACTGGAACGCCAACAAAGCAAGAACAGAGCACTTTTCAACTGGCACATTCATAAACCTCATCCTGAAGACATTCATGTATCAACACGTTAAAGCAAACTACGACAATGAGGCAACGCGATATTCACCAGGAAACATGACAATATACTTTACTTTGAGTATCTTCCCCCCAAGGGGTGTAAGCTGAAGTATTATTTTCATGGTTACAGCAACCATGTCCTCCTCGAAATAAAATATGCACCGACCTATAATCTAGAGCAAAATTTAGTACAGTTCTTGAAACACTTTCAGGAGACGAACCTATGGTTTTCAACTTATTTAAAGAAATGTCGATTTTGATTGGAAAGACTAGCTGTTACGTAATGAAGTGAATGTTTTGTGAAATAACAAAGCACAAATATTTATACCAAACCTTCAAACTTACAAATCAGCAGTGGTTTAATCAAAATTGCAAACCTGACCCACCCAAAAAACATCGATTCAATATTATAAGACGCCAAACATACCACCTATACTAACAAGCAACTACATAGCAATGAGAACAGAGGCAGAAACAAATTGAGAACACGAGAGAGGAACAATTTTACATACGTAAAAACAGACTTATTCTATAAATTTATTACAACCAAATTGCAGCTAAAGGATAATATTCAGAGGTTGAAAATGGGAAATACTTTCACGGAAAACGATTTGTGTGAAACATTACACAAAAAGTTACAAAGTCTCTTTGTACAAAATGAAATCTTCAGGCAACCAGATACAATAAGAATTCCAGAGAACAACACAGCACATAGAGCTGTCTAGAGACGAAGTGGAAAAAATGCTCAACGAACTAAACAAGAACAAAGCAGTTGGTCCAGATGGAGTTTCACCATGGGTTCTGACAGAATGTGCACCTGAGCTCAACATTCCTCTTCAACTGATTTTTCAGCCATCCCTGTATACAGGAATTGTAGCTGATGTGTGGAAAAAGCCTAACATACTTCCAATCTAAAAAAGTGGAAGCAGGAAAACCCACCCTTATTTATTGTGTAATAGTCAAAATATTGTTAAATCATATTTAAAACTAAATGGGTACAACACCTGCAGAGAAATGATATAATATCACACAGACAGTATGGTTTATGATCTGGAACATCCTGTCTATCCAATTTACTCAGTTTCTATGATCTAGCAACACAGATATTACAGGAAAGAGATGCTTGCGTTGACTCCATCTATCTGGACCTAAAAAACGCTTTCGACACAGTTCCACATAACAGCTTGTTCTGTCACTACTGCAATATTTGTCAGTTTCCAGAACATTGTTTCATCCAGGTTACAAGCGTACCTGAATGATAGAAAAATGAGGGCTGTCATCAGAGGCAATGTATCGGATTGGAGAAATGTCACAAGTCGACTAACACAGGGTTCAGTTCTTTCACCAGTGATGTTTATTGTCTACATAAATGATATACCACTTGGTATACATGTTTGCTAAGATAATAGGAAGGATAACAAACTTAGATGATTGTCATACCCTTCAAGAAGACATGAATGAATATCGTCCCGTTTACAAGTCAATGTATAATAACCTATTCATTTACTTTAGTATTACATGTATTTTTTTCACCACCTACTATTACCATACCTCAAACCGTTAGCGACTAATAATGACTACCTTCAAACTTACAGTTTTCAAGTTACCCTCGTACACTAAAGCTAATAAATAACGACTACATAACTTACTTCTCTGGTGCTAGAGGCCCTATACTTGACGGATTGTTTGTATACCCAGCCATTCATTCACTCCACCAGGAGGGCATGAGCCCCTACGTACCTCCAGACTTAATCCATCGGTCAACTTTCAAACCTCACCAATACCATTTTCACATTGCACATAGCCGCCACATCTCACTACTTCAAGAATAAACAAACTTAATCTCAATATATTAACTTGTTTCAACAGTTGTATATTTTACTACTGATTAGTAGTCAGAAATAAAATAATATAAGCGTATAACCACCAAGAAGGGATATACACATGTCAAAATACTAAATATTTTTTGCCCATACATTTTAGGGCCTTCACTGTACTAGGTTACCCAGTGTACACTTGGGTCTGTCGGCTCCACTAACCACACGGGGTCTAATGCTTTCAACACACACCGTCCCGCAGCCTATACTACTATCAAAATAACGTTCCGATGCACCCCAACGACCAGGTCCACTCAACAGCCAACCACGCTCCCCGTTTTCAATTCACGTCATTCTCACTACCTGTACTGTCATTGGTCGGCTCCACCTATTTGGATACCTTCGTAATTCATGATAATTATCATTAAATACCCGGTTGGATCGATCGGCTAAATACCCGCTTCTCCGTGTACACACGTCTCACTTTACTTTGCCCATGGACTATGTTTACAACTAAAACTATGCCTCCTGCTTCGGAAACAATTGTAGTCACGTTACTAACCATCCGCTACATTATGAACAATATACAATTTACCGAACTTCTGACAATTTCTCACTATATTTGCCTGCCCGTCCTTATAACTGAAAGCCAAATGTTCATCATTGCAAACGGACATTTCTATGTAAAACATCGTTTTACATTCAAACCACAACTCATGACTTCCGTAACAATTGCTTCCTAACTCATTTTGTTCAAATACAACGCTACAAAACCTTCCACCATCTCAACACAACTAGTGCCTAAATATCAACAATATGATATTTTATTTAATAACTTACAATTGAGAACATTCCTATTATTCATACAGATTTTTACATTGGATGAATGCGTGTTCGACCGCTACTCCATATAATGCCTTTCGCCTCATCTATCTGCAACTCAGGACACGACACGATGCAAATACATATTAGGCAAGACAACTTGAGCACTTACAGATTATTATAGATATATCTGTCATTGCGACGCAGCTGCTGTTCAATGTCATATTGAGTCTGGAAAACATTACAAGTGATGGTGGCTTATGAATGTTAGTTCTTATTCATGAGTATTAACATAATGAAGGTAATGCACTGCATGGGAGGGTGGTGTGCACGACAAATATATAGACAGCTCTCACAATTCATGTCAGTTGCTTCATTTATCAACTACTTGCAGATACACCACAACACATGATTTCGTATTTTTTTATGTACCTCATCATGAATATATCTTCCAAAGTTACCTGAATTGGGTCATTAAGTCCAGGAACAATTATGTCCTCAAAACTTCCCATTACCGATCACAACATGGGTATGTGTTTCCTTACTAAATGTCTAGTATATATTACATTCATAATATATATTAAACCCTAGATATTCAAGATGTTGACCAGACCACAATAGAAGGTGAAGGAACGACGACGTTTCCGTCCCTCCTGGACCATTCTCAAGTCAATTATCTTGACTTGAGAATGCTCCAGAACGGACCGAAACGTCGTCGTTCCTTCACCTTCTAGTGTGTGATCTCGTCAACATACTTTAGTCACGTTATTGTGACTCATCGCCTGCACCTTTTGCATACCTTACTTTCTTCATTCTTTCACCAACCACACATTTTAGGCTGTATCACGCCTTTTTGGTGGGGGGGGGGGGGGAACTTCGGTATTCGAGCATCAAACTCACATTTCTACAGCCTCTTCAAGTTACCATGATCTCCATATTGTGGTTCTTTGACAAGAAAACATTAGTTTACTCCAACATTTGGCCTTTCCCCCCCTCTGCACATTATACGATTAATGCCTATCACAAGTAAAAACACGTATTTGAAGGATGCTATAGTCTCCCTTGATTCTTGTTCATTTATTTCAAATGATTTTGCTCATCCAGTAGTAATTTTACAGTAAATGCATTTACAATACAACAGTTAACTCCTTTTACCTCACAGCATGTTATTTCCAGTTTCTTCTGACTTCACTCCTGTATACAATTAACTTTATTCATGAAACGATAACGGGACACATGGAACAGTTTCTTCACTCTACATTATGTCCCCAACCATTTGCCAGTCTAAACTCATTTGGGATATTTCAGTTATTGCCGGTGTGGTCCTCTCATCCTTGCCGATACTTCAGGTCCAGGAATAACGTGTTCAACATTTTTCATTCCGTACTATGGTCAACTCCACTGCTGGGCGATGGTGCAGCCTCATTCACTTCAATTAACCATGATCTCATCCTCACGACTCGTCTAAAAACAAACAATACGTATATATTTAGTGGCCACATTTGCACTAAAAATCTTTCATATCAACTTACAACCCACATATTCTAACATTAATGACCTTTCTAATCAAATCTAGTACCAACATTTTTAACAAATGACAAAAAACGCTATACCTATTTACTCTAATGTAAATACGTCATTTACATAAACACTATTTACGTCTCCTTTGCATTTACCTCAAGTTAATTTTCAGGTTACATTTATCAAATTACAAACTTATATGCCATACAATGCAACATTAATACATTCAATTATCAGTCCCAACATTTTTATTCCTTTACCGGGATCACCTGCCGGCGCCATTCCTAATTCGCCGCACACAGATTTGTTCCCAGAAAAACTCTCACTTATCAGCTCCATTCGTCGCGATTTGCTGAGGAAGAATACATCAGTACTCCAAGACCCAGACAATATCTTGTTTTGAAGGAAACAATTCCCATTTCGTCTACAATTGACAGAGAAACAACGTTGTTGATTACCTGCTAAATGGTATTGAGCAACCAAAACTCTCGTACCCCTCTTTTTTTTTTTTTTAGGACCGTATCACTGACCAGGTCACTTAAGAGTCATACCCTGCGGGCAGGGCCACAAGGGGGCACCTTAGAACGTGTACTGAGCCTGACAGGGAAAGGTAAACCAAAAAACCTCTTAGGTGTTAGGTATCCCTGATTCAACCTGGGGGAATCATTATACGACCTCCCTTGGAGGGGAATGAATTTATCAAGGCCTAGGAGTCTCTCAGGCATTAGGTAGGGCAGTGATTCGGTTCTCACTACGTGGAGATAGTCATGGGGAAGGCTAAGAGAAAGAGGAAAGGAAGGCAGCTTTCGGACGAGGAGGGACGGTGGACCGATGTGCAGCAGGCACCCAAGAAAACTGCTATCGAGGCTTCTACCAGCAAGACAGCACACGTAATGGACCTAGAGAGGACAGCATTAGTCTCACGTCAGACAATGCTTCTCTGTCCACAACACAGCCACAGGACAACAGTATGAGACAAGAGAGGACACCAACAGTCTCTCGCCAGACTCGGCACATCTTCTAAAATTTAAGATAATGCAGACAGACCACTTTCCTACAGCATATGGAGTAGTAACGGCAATGGAAAAAGAAAAACCACAGCTCAAACTTTCAATTACACTCAACCTCAAAGGAAAAATAATAATGACACCAACAGACTGCAAATTACTTTTTCTAAGTAATACTCCTGCAATGGAAACCTGCATGCTTGCAAAACCTGGACCCTTCACAAAGACGCACACGAGTCGTGCTTTTGGGATACCCAATCGAATTTCCCCTCGATCCACTACTAGAACAAGCAAATCCTGAATGCGGAACGATGCCGCACAAAACTAGACAACGCAGCGACACGTCAGGTTATGGTGACCGTCATGGGACATGTCCCAGAAACATTCAGTCTTGGAAATTGGGGAACATACCGACACAGACCATACGTCCCGGAACCCCTGCGCTGCTTCAGATGTCAGAAATACCGACAACATCAATCACGCTGCACCGGACAGGAGAGATGCGGAGTGTGCAGCCTCAGACATCCAACCAAAGACTGTATAGCCAAGCACAAGGCAAACCACACCACAACAGCCAAATGTCAAAATTGTGGAGGCAAACATCATGCCTGGAGCACAACCTGCTCTGCACGGAAAGAAAAAGTGCAGACAGCTCAGACCAGCACTACATACACCAACCTCTGGAGCACAGACACACTCACAGAGCAAAATTTCCCGATTCTATTAATTCCAATTCAGAATACACAAAAGTGCTGCAGAAATACAGCAAATGCGAAAGAGCAGAAAACAATTACTTTCGGATTCAACACAACACATGTACAGTTTTACCGAGGTCCAGCTGAAAACCATCGTGAAGATCATGGCAGAGACCATTATCAATTGCCTACAGGTGACGCAGAACGCCTCACAACAACAGACTCAAGAAATCACTTGTGTCATAATGGACAGGATCGTGCAGCACACCACATTTACACAAGAAATAGACAGTCTGAGACAAGAGGACAAACAACGCAACATGGACATACAACAGACTTCCAACAACAGTCGGGTAGTCAAGACACCAGAACACCAACATTTACAAAAGCAACTGCAAGAAGCAGTGACCACCCAAGATCAACAGAATCTTACAACACAAGAGACAGACAACAGCCAATGCAGTCTGATATGCAACAACGCAAACAAACACCTATTGAACAGAAGAGATGCACAGGTTCCAACAACACAAGAAACAGCCACGAGCAATCAATGCAGTCCGACTTGCAGCAATACCAACAACAAAGTGATGGACCACAGTTATGCACAGATTCCAACAACGCCGGGGATGACCACGAACAATCAATGCAGTCCGATTTGCAGCGACACGACTTGCGAGGTGCAAAATATAGAGGTCGATTCCGAAGAGGAGTTCTAGTAGAACAAGCAACACCAACCGAAACCGTCGTCTGGCCATTACGAATACTGCACTGGAACATACAAGGCCTTGGAAATAAAAACCACACTTCAGGAGGCTGCAATCAGCACGAAAGCTGATATAATCGTTTCGGAACAAACTTTTCCAAGCCACGAAATCCTTCAGATTACCTGGATATCAGCACTATGTTATACCGTATGAGCAGGGGAGGCAAAGAGGGTTAATGACCCTAGTCAGGAACACCATACCCAGCAAGAAAACAGACTCAGTTTCATGTGGGGATGGAGTAGAGGTATTAGCAATAACACTGAATATGGCTAATATTGAGCTCCTCATATACAACGTTTACAAGCCCCCTAGACGTAAACTAGAAGCAGAGGCAGTGCTTACCTCGCCCACGCAGGAAAATGTAATTATTGCTGAGGATTTTAATGCTCATCATCCAGAGTTTGGTGCGACTGGGCCAGCCAATGCAGATGGGCGCCATTTAGCTGCAGCTCTGCGAGAAGTACCTGAAATTACACTTCTCAGCACTGGGGAACCCACTCACATTCTAGGAGGTTCCCTTTATCTTACATTCATCTCAACAGCACTCAAGCATCAGGCCAAGTGGGAAGTAGACTCGGTGATCACCAGTGACCACTTTGCTACTGTTACAACACTAAACCTAACACGACCTACACCACCTCCACAGCCTAGGTGGAATTTAAGAAAGGCCAATTGGAATATATACCAAGAACAACTTTAAAAATGGTATGCCACGTAAACGCCACCTGAGGATTTCAACATACACGAGACCAATCTGCAGGAAGCCATTGCAACTGCTGCAAACAAACCTATTCCAATCATTATCACAGGAAACACAAAACCAAAGAACTATTGGTTCTATAGTAATGAAGTTAAAGAACAGAACCACAGAGTCAACATCTAAAGAGAAACCTCACACCAGAAGGAAGAACTCTGCTAAGAGCGGATAAGATATCTGAAACAAGACCAGTTTCTAGAGAAGCAAAGGAGGCAAGATGGTTTGAGTGGCGTCAAACTCTAAATGAACATAGTAGTCTTGGCAAGATATGGGGTCAGATTAAAACTATATCACGTCGACCAGCCCGGCCACAGGCATGTATTCAACCATTGCAGGAGGCTGAGAGACTTGCTCTCCAATTTGCAGAAAGAACAGCTTCCTGCAATGGTCCGAAGGCAGCAAGAACAATTAAAACAAGAGAGGTTGACAGCCATTCATGAGAGCATAGCTATAAATGACGAATGTGACTGTCCCTTCACCAAACAAGAACTAATCAGCGCCAAAAAAGGTGGTAAGGACACTGCACCAGGTGCTGATAACATTACATACTCAATGATCGCACATGCAGCTCCTGCTGGAGAACAAGGAATATTGGACGTCATCAATGCATCTTGGCAGCAAGGCAAACTACCGACCTCTTGGAAGAAAGCAGACATCATACAGATTCCTAAGCCAAAAGAACCTGGCAATTACACACTCATTTCATTAACATCTTGCATTAGTACAACTGCAGAACGGATGATCTTAAATAGCCTACTGTGGAAGACTGGAGACCTTCATAAACACATATTTGCCTTCACTAGAGGAGTAGCTACTGCATACCAACATTACTAGGAACAGTTAACTCGGGTCCAGCTAGTGATCTTCCTTGATCTAGAACAAGCATTTGAACTTGCAAGCAATATTACACACCTTAGGGAAAAATGCTAGCATGGATTCAAGATTACCTAAGTCACAGGTATGCCAGAGTAAAGTTGCAAGGGCAAGTGTCGGACTACCACTTGCACGAGAATGGGACTCCACAAGGAGTACTCCTCAGTCCTAATCTTTTTAACATCCTTGTGGAAAACCTTGTTACCATGACATTTACAGAAGGGGTTAAATTGCTATGCTCATATAGCATTAGTCATTACAGATCCTTCACTTCTAAATAAAGCACAAGGTGCATTAGATAAAGTAGCATCTGAATGCAGTGCTTTAGGACTAAAAATATCTGCACACAAGTCTAAGGCAATGAGACTATGCGGAAAAACTCCAGACAGGCACCTACGCATTCAAGACATTAACCTTCAGCGGGTTACACAATATCAATATCTCGGAGTGTGCATAGATTTTAAAATGACATTCAATATCTAAGGGACAAAGCAAAAACACGACTAAATCTAATGAGATCAATCACAGGGCCCCCGTCTAGGAGCGGCACACAAAGTGTTAAGAATGTTTTACATACACGCCGTTCGTTCGTTCCCTACTTGATTATGCAGCGCCTGCCTTGCTCACTCTTTCTCCTGGTCAGTGGCCAAACGTTGAGGTTCTTAAAAATTTTGCATTGCGAATCATAACAGGATGTCCCAGAATACTGAACCAAAATACTGAACCTAAGACTAGAAACAAAGCTAACGTCGATTGAAATAAGGGTAAAAGGGATTGCTGCGTGCATGCTGACCAACATATTGACTAGACCTACAATCAGTTCACTTAAAGATATAATCACTGGAGCACTAACTCTGGACAGAAGAGCCTCCAATACCAACAGGTGGACCCATTGTGCGATAAACACCATCAATACGTTCCATATAACAGAGGGGTGTCGACGAAATACATGCAGACTTTGTTATGCAAGCCCCTTGGGAATCTCTGCCAGCAGACTAACATTATGGCTCTTGAAGGAAAGAAGAACCAGACAAATCCTCATCTGCTACGTAACATTGCACAGAAGCAAACATGGCATCCGACAGCTTCACTTCACAGATGGATCAGTAGACCAGCAGGGACAAGAAACCGGACCTGCAGTTAAAAGATGAAACTATAAATAGTTGGAGGCTCTCAAATGGGGGTTCGACTTTACAAGAGATGCTAGCCATTCAAAAGGCTTTGGAATATGCTCTTGCTCAACACCGACAACATGTTATCATACATACAGATTCGAAAACCGCCATTGAAACCTTGCAACAAGAACACGTGTGATAACATCCATCACAAACTCAAACGACAAGGCCGACGGGTACTTATCAACTGGGTGCCAATTTATGTTGGAATAATAGGAAATGACATTGCACACGAAGCTGCAAAACTTGCTACTAAGAGGAGAAATTTAGACATTTACATACCACAGAGTATCACAGATTAAAAAAGTAATTAGAAACAGAGCAATGAAAAAGATGTAGTGACCACAACACCAATTGCAACATCAGGATCTGCGAGTTGGTACAAGAATTCAACCAACTACGAACCACTTAGTTTGATGAAAGGGAACAGTAGAGCAACAGAAGTGCATTTACATCGCATCAGGCTTGGATGTGCATGGGAAATAGGCTTACAAGTTCCGGAAGATGAGAGGAAATGTCAACACTGGAGAAATGCCCGACAGACCACTGGAACATTATCTAACACAGTGCACAGTTACAAACCCATTAACATTTCAACTTAAGATTCAACAGAGCAGAACAAGTTGTTAAACACACACATGGCAAAATCTTACTGAAGCGACCATACGAGTCAAATACTCATACTCCGCCCAAGTAAAACAGAAACGAGCAACACTTAGTGGGGCCAGCCACAGGCTTAGGGCCCGCGCAGGAATATTCCTTGCCTTCCCCCCCCCCCAAAACTAAAAATTCCTTTATTAACAACTCCCCTATTCTACCTACATCAAATATTTATTCCCATTCATTGACCAAACTACATGTCTCATCCACAGTGCGGCTTTTAACATTCTACATGGACTAGTACATTCCACCCCACGGCTGTCATGCCGAACCTATTCACTGATCTATCTAGTAATCAACAAAATTCTCCACAACCACCGCGACAAGTATCATTGTTCTGCCAAACTGAATTTGTATACTTACTTTTACCCGCTTTTCATTATCCGCGCATTAAGGGCGTTTATATTACGCTCAGTTTGTCATTGATACAACTCACGCGATGTGCCACCTAATATCGATGTACTAATGATTCGTTAAAACTTTTTGTCCTCTAGTCTCAAAAGTAGGTCCCACCGCACTTATTTCACCAGGTCACTGATATGAACCTGACACTACCTACCCTCCAACTGTGTTACCATTACCCAGCCTCTCGACAATTTTCATTAATGTCCATCATGTTTTATCCGTTGTATATATATTCACCTAATCAGGATTCAAACCCACGTCCACCATGTCGTACCGTCACCTCGTAAATGAGGTTACCTACACTAGGGTCACCTTTTTCTGAGTAATAAACGGAACCACAATGATTTCATAAACTAAATTCTATGCAAATGGGTTACTAATAAGCCTAATACTAACATTTTATTTATCTAAGCCTTTTAATAATAACTCCTGTTATTCTATCCATCAATAACGTCCCACTTCAATATACATAACTCCAGTCTGCCCAGATGCGTTATTGGGCACGTTATTAAACTATTTGAACACCTATGTAACATTCAACAGCCTCCCATTATGAGGCTTTCGCGGTCTGTACATGCGCTCTCAATGCCTACTCATCCGTTTATTCAATTTACCATTCTTCTCGCAATTTAACTCCATTACTTCGTGTCATTGCACCCACTTCCCTCTGCAATATGGGAGTATCTGACCCAATATATGTTAACTAATTATAAATGTTATCGTAGATAAACTGTTTACGGAAAACAAACTGTCCTTAACACTCAAACGTTCAATAATTACGATTTTTATTCCTACACAAGTCGCTTCCTGTGAAACCAATATTCATTCACGCTGACACGAACGTTAAGCATTAGTACTATTCTACACATCGCCAAAATATATAAAACTATTCTTACACCCAACTGCAAAACCTACACTACATTCTGGTCAGGTTCTATACGCGAGGCATAACCCTGCCACTGCTCGTCTCATACCTCCCTCACATTATGCAACTCGCCTAAATTTACTTTTCTGTGGGGTACCTGACCAAATTTACACCTTTACACTTCACGTCACACTAAGCGTTTTATACTTTCTCTTCACCTAAGGCATATTATATCAAACTGAACCAATCATGAGTGCCAAATTAAAGCTTTCTTACCCCCATTATCACTCAATTGCCAACGATAACACTCCATGTATCTTCAACGTCAAGCAAAGGCCCGAAACCTTAAATGTGCAATTCGTTTAACGTCAAACCTTTATTTTATAGGTCACAAGTGTCATTTCATCTCAAACCCCCACTGATAATGTACTCTAAGGTCAAAGCAAAACAATTAGTGGAAATGTTTGAATTTTTAACCATCTAAAAGCTAAAGCTAACTTATGGTCTATTCATTTCGGTTTAAATGGACATTTAAATGGACATTCAAATTTACGTATTGGGTTGTTACACTGCCTCAGCTTCTAAACACGTACGATAAAGCTTCGACCCTTCCTTTTCAAAATAGTTTCCACACCAAGTGCTGTTACTATACACACGTGCTATAAGAGCCACACCTTTAGTCTGTAGTAAGGACGAACGTGGCAAGATTCGTAGTAGGTAGAAGATGAATATTGTCTGCCGTCATGCTGGTACTCCATCTGCCAGATATGGCCGGTATTACCTGCAACAAAGGGGAAACTTACCGACAAGTAATGTATGAAAGTGAAAGCTGTAATTGTCTCGGTAATCTATGCAAATGCCCAAGATTTAAAATGGGAGTTTCAAAGTCTAACGTCTCACAAAAGAGGTTTTATCACTTATTTCAAGCATGTTGGTCGCCACCATCTGGCTAGTGCTTTACATGTAATTTAATTAAATTTCATAAACCACGATACCATCCAAACGTTTGTTTTAAAATGAACTACCCCCCACAACAGTGCTTACAGTACCTTAACTTACTGCATTATTAACCTGTATGACTAATAATGCCTAGCTTCAAACAAGCCTAATTTTATCAGAAAACTTTAAGGTTACCATAGTAACCAGGTAATGAATGAATACTACATCACTTGTGTTGTAGGTACATAGTCCCGGTATTAACTCTACTTCATAACTGTTTGTACAGGTAACAACGTTCAAATAGTCATCTAGGCACTACATTACTTACCTTCAGCTAGGTGCGTCCAGACTTCATTCGAAGTTGAAGTACGTTCAGGTCCAACAGTTGCAGCCTAACCAATAGCCCTCTTCTTCAGTACATTCGACATCGCCACACAACACTAGTTAAATGAAAAACATGTTACAATATACAAAGTAATTTCAATTTTTATAATTTATATTTTAGTAATGATTAATATGCAGTAATAAATCTTTTTCAGTATATACCCCAAAGAGGGAATATATAGCTGTAAAAGATTACGTATTTTTGCCCCCTAGATTTTAGCGCGTTGACGGTGTACTAGGTAACGAGTGTACACTAGGGTCTGTCGGCCCTAGTGACCCCAAAAGGTAACCCCACGGGGTCAAATAGTTTCAACAGACACCTAACACTAGTACCTACACACCGTCCCGCGGGCTATACTAGGGGCAAAATAACGTTCCGTTCCGCCCCAACGAGCAGGTCGACTCAACAGCCAATCACGTTCCCCATTCTAAATTCACGTCACATTCTCGCAGCCAATCACGTTCCCCGTTTTCAATCAATTTCACATTCTCACTAGCTGTACTGTCATTGGTCGGCTCCACCTAATTGCATACCTTGGTCATTCATGACAATTAATTTCTTAAACTTAAAGATATTCACGGAAAGGTATACCCGCTTCTCGGTGTAGAGACACGTCTGAGTTTACTTTGGTCATCAACTATGTTTACAGCCTAAAAGTATCCCCGCTGCTTGGTAACCAATTGTACTTACGTTACTAACCATCCGCTACATTAAGGACAACACTCTTTACCGAACTTTTGACAATTTCTTCACTATATTAGGCTGCCCGTCCTAATAAATGAAAGACAAATGCTCATTAATATAGCAGCCAAACGCACATTTGCATGAAAAACATTGTTTTATATTCGACTCATGACTCCAACACTTCGGAAACAGCTGCTTCCTGACGACATTGGTTCGAATCCGTTCGAACCCTAACGCAACAAATGTTTCAACCGCGTTAACAGAACTAGTGCCTAATTATGACAAATATGATAAATAAATTATTTTTCATTTTGAAAATTCCTATTATGAATGAACAGTATGTTCAAACTGATAAATGCTAGTTTGTGTTCGACCGCTGCATGGAATGGCCTTGGCCTCACGTATTTCCAACTCCTCTGATGATGCGATGCAAATACATATTATTCTCAAGAAAACTTGAGCACTTAACTATATATCTCAGGCCTTGCTATGCTATTGTTCAATGTCATATTGAGTCTGTAAGACATTACAATAATAAGTATAGGCCAAGTTCCTTGCCCTATACTTGGACAAGAAACTCAACTTCAGCACCCATACATAACCAACAACATCTCAAAAACAGTTGGTATACTCTCTAAAATCAGATATTATGTTCCAAACTCTGCTCTCCTCTCACTATACTATGGGCTAATTAATCCCTATCTTACATATGGTATCTGTGCATGGGGTTCAACCTCTGCAAACTACCTCAAGACCATCATCACCCAGCAAAATATGTTATCAGAACAATAACAAACTCTGCTTTCAGACAACACTCAGTCCCCTGTTTAAATCCCTAAACATGCTAAACATACCTCACTCCACATATTCTCTTGTGCAAACTACATTTACAAAACCCTAGTCTGAAACCTTAAGTGCAAACCCTGTTCTAAAATTCTTCCACGACACATGTAATAGAACACATACTCACCACACTACAAATAAATAACTCTGATATCCCCAAAGCCAAACTTATTCTGTGTAAACACTCTATGCAAATAAAGGGATCTAGTCTATGCAACTCACTCCCTAACGATTTGAAAACCTGTCCAACTTTTGCCTTATTCAAAAATAAAACCGAAAAGTACCTAATTTCATCTTTATACTTTCCTACCTAATGCTTGAAGCTCGTACTATATCTAGCGCTACCCAATTTCCAAATATTTATACACCTATGCCATACAACTTTACCATTGTAATCATTAATGTTATCGTATGTGATGTTATACACATACTTTGCTACATAATATCTTGAAATATTCCTCAATTTATGCTAAAATGTATCTGCGGATAAACCTTAAATGGCCTCTGATTTGAAATACAAATCGATGTTTCTGAAGAGGGGGGGACAAAGAAACAGTTGCGCAGTGCGCCCGCGCAGGTGCGCGGGAAGTCCGGGGCCATATAAATTCCTGGGCAGAGAGGGGCTCGCTCTCTCTCCACCCGACCGTCGCAGTACTCGAAACTGAGGTAATAAGGTATTCGTTTTCATGTCAATTTAGTGAACGGGAGCCCGCTCCTGTTTCGGTGATTTACGTTCCTCCATTAACTAAACGCTTACTTAGATAACTGGTTATATCCTTAGTCTTTCAGTCATGACGTGTATTAAGACTAAAGTTATTCCTCAATTTAGCATTGCGCAAGCCTCTGGCTTTAGATTACTCCTGCACTTGATTTACGAGTCGATTACCCTCGGCAATTTGTTACTGCAATTTATGCATTGCGTTTGCTCCGTTTTATTTAACTTTGTGCCCCAATTATGTTTAACTGTCGCTTTTGTCATTGACTTTTAAGTCGGCTACGATGTGCTAGTTAGGTTATACTATGGTGTCTTTCAGTCACGATGTGTATTAAAGACTTCGTTTATTCCTCAATTTAGCCGGAAGGTATCGCGGCTTCCCAGCCGACGTCCTTCCTGCGAAGAGTTAAGCCGGCGATGTTTTCAGTTTTATATTTATTTGGTCATATAAATATGCGGCCTCCCAGCCCGCTGGTTTATCCAGACGTGTTGTCTGCCCGGATGTCACAGCGGCCTCCTAGGCCGCTGGTCGCAAAGTTCCAGCTGACGTTGTGCCTATTTTCACTCCTTTTCGTTATTGTATTTGGTTGTATTTACCTCGGCTCGGTGTTAATCCCGTTTCTCTAAAAGTTATAGTCCAGCTTTATTTGGAGCATACTTTGTTTTGCAATTTATTATTTATAATTAGTTATAATTATAATTGGTTTATAATTTATTTACACTATTTATTAAAAATTATTCATATTAATATAATCTATTAGTTAGGCTTTTTTCCAAATACGTCCCAGCCGGTGTTCCTGCAGAGGATGGGACAGCTGGTGGCTCGGCCGAATTTGTTGCAGCGGCCGCCCTCAGACTCGGCTAGTTTCAGCAGACGATGTTACAGCTGCTAACTCCCCAGTTCCATGTTAGGCTTCCCGGCAGCCGATGCTTGTGAAGCTCCAGCTGAAGCGTTCCACCCGACGTTGCGCCCATCAATTTATCACTTTTCAGTTTTGTAATTCTCGCTTTCCAACCTTCATAAATTGTTCCCGTTATTTTCTGAGATATATTCCAGTCTTTAGCCTAAATTGTCTTGCAGCTGGCCCTCTACTTACCACTAACGTCTTCCCTGGTGGACAGTTGCCGCTATTTTCCTCCCTTTATCAGATGTTGATGCTCCAGCTGTCGATGTCCAACTGCAGGTGCCCAGCTCCGATGCTCCAGCCGCTGATGGCAGGATTTTGCAATTCAACATTCGGCAACGGTCGTCAAGTTAATCTATTATTTTGCACAATTTTTACTATTGGTGTTTGTTATACACGCTATGTGAATGTGGGTTTAAGGTCCAGGTACTACCCACGTGCATAATTCTTTAACTTAAAACCCGTGCTTATTGTATTTTAGTTATTAACTAAGCCAGCTAGGTTGTGCTAGTTGCCGTGTCACAAGCCTCGTGCCTCTTGCTTCAGTTTCCCTGGCTTCGCATTTACCACTAGCCTACTCACTTTATTTCCGCTCAGGATGCTTTGTCTTGTTGCATGTTTACTTTTACTGTGTTTACAGTATGTTTAACTTCTGCTTTGCCTTACTTTAGTAAGTAAAGTCAGTTAGGATGTGCTAGTCGCGGTGTTACGGGCCCTCGTCTCCTGCTTAAAGTTTCTGGCTCTGTAAATTATTACTGTTATTACGGGTAGCCTTGCGGCATATGTTTTCTCCTGGTTGTGGTTTATCATTTACGGCCTAAATGTTTACATTTAGCCTATCACAATTTAATTCTTCAATTGATGCCCTCCCAACGCCAGCTGCAGGTTTTACTTCCAGTGGAAATTTAGGCTTGTTCGCTAGACTTAAAAGTTGTTAGGTAAGGCGCTACTCGCCGTCTCGGTTATCTCTTAACTTAAGCCTTGACGCCCTGGCGTCGTGCGGTCCGCCGTTTTGGCGATTTATAATTTATATTTGTGAACATTTTTAAAATACATCTTATGATTGCTAGACTTTCAGTTAAAGAGTTGTATTACTTCCGCAATTTATAGCATTGCTTACGCCTCATGCCTAAAAATTTTTATTGGACTCGCAATTATGATTCGTATTTAACACGGCAAATTTTCCCGCAATTTACACTTTGCTTAAGTTTCACCTTTAATTTGTTATATTAAGGGACTTTCAATTAGGATTTGTATTAATGTATTGCTTTGCCTCTGCGCCATTAAGTTAATTTCAGCTAGGGTCCCCCCATTTTTTCCCTCTGGTTATTTCGTCCTATTACACTAGTTTCCCTCATCATATATTCTAAATTTTGAGCATTATATTTGCCCACCCATTCCTCGTCGTTTCGGCAATACATTAAGATACATTTGGAATGCTACAGAGAAGTTTAGCATAGCCTCGCGCACGGTGTCATGCAAACTGGCCATTCAGCCTTCCATACGGCAAGCATAAGCCAGTCGGTCGCATGATGTCGGCCACCATGCTGTTGGTCAGCAGTCAGCCAGCATGTTGTTGGCCATACGGTCGCTAACGTTCTCTGGCCATCCGGCCTTCTGGGCTAATTTACTCTTCTTGTTCCTTCGTCATTGTTTCTTACTACGTAATGGTATTCTATTTAATTTAACCTCGTCTATCATTAGGTTAGGGGCCCTTACCTCAAACTGCTATTTCTTCCCCTGTGCTCTGCCCACTGGCGCACAACGTCGGCTTCTTATGTTCCCTTTTTTTTCTCCCAGCCACGACAAGCCAGAAACCCCCCCCCCCCTCACCCTACTGCGGCGAGGAAGAGAACGCGAGCCGGATATTCCTCTTATCACCCTTACAACGCACGCAGCGGCGCTGGGATGCAGCCGCCCAGGGCCTACGTTAATACTATTATCTTCCCTTATTTGCTGGGCTATATTGTAGTATTATTCCGTATCGTTACTGTCGTTCCAGTATTTTATTAAGAATATAAATTATTATGGTTTGGCGTTGCTTTAATTTCTTCCATTCTGCGGCACTTGCCGTCATCGGTTATTTACGATATTACATTGTATTCTTACATTGTACGGTTATTTACGACATTGTATTCTTATCCTTATTACAGTTACTGGATGCCAGTTCCCTGCCGTAGATTTCACTTTGCTCCTGTTCTAAAAGATGTATCCGAAGTTCACGGCGTACTAGCTGCGGCTTGCAGACGCTCATTAACACAAGACTACACTCAGCGGCCACTTAAGGCAGACTCCTTGCCTCTATCACCATTGGCTCTATTCAGCTCTTATCACCCGTCTGGAGGCAGAGATGGGATGGAGACCGAAGGGTAATGTTCCCCGCTCACATTCTTCATCCGCTTAGGACACAAGCATGTTACAGATTTGGCTTTAAGAATTGGTTCTTATTCCATTTTATTGTTTGTATATATTGCTTTGTTGTATATACCCGTTCTTGGTATATGAATTGTTTATATTATCAAGATTTATAGTTTCGTATTATCCCTGTTTATATAGTTGCTTTGTGCTTCCTTGCTGTTCTCCTACTGGCTTTCTCCCACCTTTGCTCCTAGCAAAGGTACTTCGCCCTTCCGTTTGCTGGAAGATTCTTAGAATTGTTAGCCCCCCTTCATTTCTACAGTATAGTTATTCGGAAAACTCTTATTCATCCAGGATTGTTTAATTAAGGAATCTCTTAATTCCTGCTGCTGGGCCCCCTCCCCCCGGTTTTTTTTTAGTCTCCGTATTGTTTCAGTTAGGGTTTACCTCTCGTCTGTGCTCTTGTCTGTCACGATAACACTGCATGCCGCTTCTGCCCACCCTTACTGCCTTATATCTTTCAGCCCGGGGGAGGTGATCTACGCGACAAAAAGTCGACGCACACTCCGACTGGACCAGGTATCGTTTACATGGTCAGGAATCAACACTCTTCGGATCCTACAAGCACAGCGCAGGACGCACGCATACCCTAGCCCAGCGAGCGCCCCCCCCCCCCCCGACAAGTTCTACCCGGCCCGTGCCCCAGTGAACAGGCAACACTTCTCCAGGGCGCTTAATTCGCGCCGCCCTCGCAGAGCTAGGCTCGCCTCCAGCCGACCACGCCCTTTTACCTTTAGAATTGGCAGGGCCACTCGGCGCTCTTGACGGGCTCGCCAACGGAGATAAGGGCGGGTCCAGCAACCAGCTGAAATCCCCAGCCGACTACGTCCGGGACGTTGCTCTGCCACTGAGGCCTCCTAGCGGGCCTCGCCCTTCGGGGGGGGGGGGGGGGTCCGGCCAGCTGGCCTGCGGTGGGGGTGCAGCGCCGGTCCCCAAGTGTCCCGCTGTCCACAGCTAATCCTTTGCCCAGTCTAGGTGCTAGTAAGTCGGGAAACCCTTCTCCTTATTCCTTGGCGGCCGGCCTCACGCCCTGGGAAAACTTCTCCCATTTGTCATATCAGTTTTCCCCAGTCACTAGGTATTTTCTGCCCGCCTGTTAATTCTAGGATTTCCCATGGTCTTGGTCGGGCTCCGTTAAGTGTTGTCTATACACTTTCATTTCCCCTTTGTGTCCTGACTGTTATACCTAGTTCTAATTACATTTCTTCTGCCATTAGGTTTCTGCAGAACGTGTTTGCCATGTCACTAGGCTATGCGTACTACTACGGGGTACATTTTAAGTTAATTTAGTCCTCGGACATGTTACATTTGTTAATTCCTACTTACATTATTTACATGTTCTGCAGAATTTAATTTACTAATAAAATTTAAGCCCCAATCGGCCTGTGTCTTTTTCCTCCTGGTCAGAAATATGAATAGATAGATCCCACATGAGCATATAATTAGTACATGTTTTCAAATATTAATTTAGGCAAAGCACATACACAAAGTTCAAATTCAAAATTCAAAGTTCTTACATTCTTGTATAGCAACTAGCACACGCTGCGTTTCAGGAAAGTCCTTTATCTTGTATTCCCGGAATACGACCCGTCAAATAGTTTAACACCCAGGTACACCTTTTACTGTTAGGTGAACAGAGCCTACAGTTAAGGATTGATGCCGGTAAATCCTCCCCGGCCAGGATTCGAACCCAGGACAAATCGCTCGCGAAACGCCTGGCCAGTGTTTTTATTTATTTATTTATTCATTTATATACAAGGTACATTGGGAGTTAACAGAACATAGAAATGAAGTTGAATTTACATTCTTGTAAAGTCACTAGCACGCTAGCACACTAGTACTAGCCTCATAGCACTAGCACGTAGTGTTTTACCACTACACCATGGAGACTGCAAATGGTGTACCCCATACCCATCCTGTGGGTGGTGGACCCCATACCCATCCCTTGGGAGGTCGTGGATCTCATAACCATCCCACGGGCGGTGGTGGACCCCATACACATCCCTTGGGAGGTGGTGGATACCATACCCATCCCACAGGCAGTAGTAGATTCCATACCCATCCTGTGGACAGTAGTGGACCCCATACCTATCCCTTGGGCGATGGTGGATCCCATACCCATCCTGTGGGCGATAGTGGACCCCATACCCATCCCATGGGTGGTGGTGGATCCCATACCCATCCCGGTGGGGGGTGGTGAACCCCATACCCATCTGAATCCTAAGTACAATCTCCCAATCTTGAGCACTCCAGGTGCAAACGTTGTGAATAGGAACTGGGTCATGATCTCACTCGCTACATTACTGAATGCTCCTTCATTAGACCCTTCAGACCCCGCCTGGCATGTTCATCTGAAACATAGCAATCACTAATATTAACACTCAGGTTCTTTAGGATCTCCCTATAACGCACCCCAAATTTGCTACCGATGGCATGGCCCTGTATCACTTACCATCCTGCGACAAGGTGATGGGGGCCATTTTAGTATCACTGCAACCATATTCACTCTTTTGTTCTTGATATCCTCATTATGCATCCAAAGTTTGCCAGTGGAGACTACATTGCTCTGTATGACTAACCATTCTGTGTGATGGGGATTTTTAAAATTACGTAGCTAGCACTCGACACATTGAGATAATTGTCGTTTAAAAGCAGTAACTCTATAAAGACTGGGAATAATTGTATTAAACAGCAACACGATCTGGTGTCAATTTCACACTGAGTCTGAGAGTAACACTGTCAAGTGCTCGAGCAAGGACAGTGTCTGGGAGGGACACCATAGTGACTATGGACAGTAGTGTCTTTGAGAGACGCCATAGTGACTGTGGACAGCAGTGTCTGGGATTCAATGGAGTGACTATAAGGAGAATGGAAATTGCAAATTGAAATATTTTAGTCACTAACAGCTTAGTATTGCCTAATCACTATCTCATTATAGAGTCAATTCTATAACTCTTTCACGAGTCTTTAAATTGAATAAATGTGCCGTCTTCAGCAGTTATGTGTAAGCATGGAAAATATTGTAGGATACTAAAATTATTTTGTTGCTAATGTTTATTGCTAACAAAGTCTGGACAGACAGCAAAGGATGGAGACTTTTGGAACGGCATTTGAAGAACATGCTTCTGGGAACACAGATGCAATATGTTTATTATTTATTCATCAATGGCTATATATTAATGATGATGTTTTAGTAAAATTTATGAACTGCATTTCCATGTTATAATTTTTCTCAGTTCAAAATATATATGTAAAGTTGCACTGGTGAAATTAAATGGATTTGAAGTACCTTGATGACATTAATACCTGTATAGCTATTAGCTTAGATGTAATAATTCTCAAACAATTGTTTAACAAATAAGTACAATGATGTTGAAGTCTTTATATTGAATATTCAGAGGTTCACATAAAGAGAATATAGAGGTTCACAATAACAAACTGTAGCCGTATTAACAACAAAAATTATAATCTGAATGAAGCAAGTAGAGAAAACACGTCAACAGTATTTATGGCATAAATTGGTTTGATTTTGGCCTATCAACCACAGGAGGTTATTAAGGCCACCATAAGAGCTTACTGATCAACCAGCAATTATACTTGACCCCTGAACAAAGACTAGGACTGGAGTGTATATACACCAGGAAGCAGGGTACACCTCTTGGTGACTTAAATGTTAAATAACATATTACTATATCAGTCACATAGGCCAGAAATATATATAGAAAATTCAAATTAAAAATCGGTGATATTTTCACATATATATATATATAAGAATCTAGCAAAAGTTACTTGCTTGATTCTTATTAATAATAAACTGGGCACGAGTTCCACAAAATACTGTATTGGTATTATTCTATCAGTAGTATTAAATAATCAACAGGGAATGTGTCACTTAACAAAATAGTAATGGCTCTTTAATGCTTAAATTAATGACTAGTGTTGAATAGGATAAACATTTTGTAGCTTAAGATGTACAATATGTGAAAATACAAAATGTTCGTACTACTGAAAGCATCAAATCCTTTCAACACTTTCTAAATGTTGAAAAAATAATTCCTCCAATTTATTTCATGTTACATATTACAGTAAAAACTATAAAGCAGTACAATGGGCTACTTTAAGTACTGCACATAAAGTTTTAAGATCATTTTTGTCTGTTTTTATCATCCAGGCATAAAGCACTTGTGAATAAGTACATAATAAAGTACTCTACAATACTGTGTAGAGTATTCTGATTGTATTATGTCTGCATTTTGCTTTAAGTATAATACAATCAAACAGGAAATAATATGGCAGGATAAAATAGCACCTAATATGGTTTTTACAGCAAATTAAATTCCACAACAGAACATCAAAGAGTGTAGCATGTTTTGTTTATTTTAGTTTACACTGTTGGAATTCCTTATAGAAACAACTTGAAATTTGAAAACACAAAATTATAAATAAAAAAAGTAATGTAATGCTTTAAATAATAACACATTCCTCTATAAGAGTTTGGCCAAAATAAAGCAAATATCAGTGTTCAATCCTGATAAATTAAAGTTGATCTTAGAAAAAATAAATCGTAACGTGTCAACTGTCTGTCAAACACTGAAAAAGAAATTGAAAAAATAACACAGAAGTTGTTTCTAGTGCAAACTTAAGAACTAAATATTTCTCCTTCGAAGGGATACAATTTATGGAGTTAGCAGAGCGAAGTATACAATTATCACTATCCAGAAAACACAACGTAAATAAATTATAAATGAGAAAATATTCATATTTAATAACAGATATAACTTAATTATACATATCTGAATTTCAGACTGCAATGATACTTTATTTATGTAAAGCAAAAATAAAACATTATTATTCACGCTCCACTTAACCTACAATCCTGCTATATTGTGCGGGCACGGATAAATTGATTAGAAACATAATTTATTTGATACCCCATGCATTACGCATCATAAGGTCAAAATAGGCATCTTGGTCAATAGAAGCACTAACTCCAGCGTAATAGTCGTAAAATTCATCCATTGTTATCTATAAAAAAATATAAAAATATATATTATTAGGATACCATAATACGAAACAATTCAGAAAGATAATAATTCTTTATTTATATTTAAAAGACTATTGTAATAATAATATGATGTCTATACATATATGTATATATTAAAATGTCTTGTTGCAAAACCATTACAGTACCAATATGCGCTTATAATCAAATTCTTAATAGAAATTAATAGTGGAAACTTTATCGTCACAGTTTTGCCTTTGTGCATGTGATGAGATGAAAGATAATCTAAATTTTGCTTTATTAAGAACATACGAAGGTAACTGCAGACGGCCTATTGGCCCATACGAGGCAGCTCCTATTTTTAGCCACCCAATCTCATTTATATATACTGTATATGTTTAACCTACGTTTGAAACAATCAAGGGCTCCTAATTCTATTATGTTATGTGGTAATTGGTTCCATAAATCAACAACCCTGTTACCAAATAACTGATAATGATATATTAATTTTATTACAAATTATGATAACATAAATGTTCAATGACTCACCTTGCCATCAACAGACGTATTATTCTCAAACTTCTTTATTACAGTATTGAGAATCTGATCTTCTGTCATCTCTCCAGACTGATACTTGGGATGCTTCTGAACAGAATATACTCCCTTCAGATCGTCAAGAGTCACTACACCATCATCTGTCTTGTCTAGCTTGTCAAAAGCCATATCTACTAGCTTCTTTCTCCTGTCATTCATTTTGGGCTGTGCGAGATATATATATATTATGAGTCACAATTATTATACACATGTTAAAGTAAAGCTAAATGTCCATGTTAATATTTGTCATCTTATTTTATATTATAAACCAGATGGACTACACGGTGGTGTAATACACGCTCAGGACACACTCACTCACTCACCTCTCACCCTCCCCCCCCCCCACTTCTAAGGTCTCCTTGTACATGCCATCTCTTTCTGCCCTATTCATAGTAACTCTTCGGGACATCCGATCCCTTGATCGTCGTTGCCCCCAAAATCCACACGAACACAGTAACTCTCGCCCTTACACATTGTTTTCATCACCGTATGAAAACAATGTGTTAGTGACATTCTTCACACCCTTCCTGACTCCTTCCTAAAACTCGCCCTCCCTATCTCCCACACAAGCTATCTCTCCATCTTTCCCCACAGACATCCTCCCGACCACTATTTGAGAGAATATCAACATCTAAGAGACATTAGAAATATGTGTAGAATAATAAACCCCACATTGTTTGAGTTAGGAAAACACTATTTGTCAAATATAGATCCTGTTCTGAAGAGATTTCCCCATTTTGCACCCGCATGATAACGTAAGATTTTCAGGGTTGACAATGTTAATGTTCATTTTTGAGAAGAAGTTCACTTGAGATAGTTAAGCAAGTCCCTGCTGTGTCTGGGTACAAGCGACAGGATGAACAATCCAGCGGGTTTTCTTCCTATTGGGGAGTGTTGTACATGCTGCTATGGCGGTATGTCCGCTCACAGGTTGAGTGGCGCAACCCAATAAACTCGCTCCTCAAGTATTTTACATTTTAAATTCTCACCTCACACACCTTACCCACCACCCCCACACGGGCACACACACCTACCCACCACCCACACATACACCTACCCACCACCCACACACACACCTTCCCAATCGCCCCCACACATACTATCCCTGTCTCTCGTATCACCGTCGCCATTTTCATTACACACTGTCATCATCACTTGCCATCTTTAGTTCACTACATGAAACAGGATAAATGATATATTGTTGAAGGTACCTCTATACATAATTTTAAAAGCAAATATGGTAATGTTACATGAAGTGAGAGAGCCACTGCATCACATATTCGAAAACGGAAAAGGTGTGGTTTAAAAGTTTGAAGGTAGTTTGGGTAGGGTAGGGTAGGGTAGTAGGGTAGTAGCACTTATACGGCAAGAGTTGTTGGCTGACGTTTGTTGCGAGCAGGTCGCTGTTGTTGGTGTGTGGTGTGCCGGCTAGCCTGTGGAGCGGCTGGCGTTATGGCGTAGTCGGTGACGCGGATTTGGAGGGTGGATTCCGCAGGATTGGAGTTCTCGGCAGCTGCTAATTGGACGTTGGTGGAGGTGGCGCTTTTGGATGTTTTACGGGTGGACCTGCATTCTCTTTACGGCCTTGAGAAGATCTCTGACAGGCGTGTGGTGGTCAAGTTCTCTGCCCCTGGTCCATATCAGCGCTTCGCGAGTGATTTTGCTGGGCGTTCTCTCCAGCTCCCGGGCTCTGCTGGTACTGTGGAGGTGTCGGACCGGTGTGTGGCGCCGACGTTTGTCAGCATCCGTGGAGTTCCCTTGAACTTTCCCGAGGTCCTTCGCACCTGCTTCTCTCGGTACGGTACTGTGTTCACTCACCATATAACTTGTCTCCGCTCAGGCCGCCTATCGGGCTTGAGGACCAATGTGCGGACCCTTGGCATGCGCTTGACACGTGATATTTCATCTCAGGTCACGTTCTACGGCTTTAACTTGCGGGTATTCAATGAGGATCAACCGCGCACCTGTTTTAGATGTGGCTTGCGAGGGCATCTTGTGGCCGGTTGCACTGCTTCCGGGGTGGGGAGGCCAGCCCTCTTTCAGGAGGGTGATTTTCCCCCGTTGGGGGTTGGGGGGGTGTCAAGCCGGGTGTTGCGGAGGCCGTGAGTGTCCCCCGCGACCCCTCCCCGTCATTGGTGCCTTCTGATTTGAATGTTCCTGCTCCGCCGGTTCAGCAGTTTGGCCCACCTGGTCCGTTGGTGCGGCAGTCTGGCTTCCTGTGCACGTCATCACTGCGGAGGTTCATCGGGATTCATCTGTTACTGACGTGGAGTCGGGTACGCCTGTGGCAGCTGCTCCGTCGTACTCACCTAGTTGTACTCACCTAGTTGTGCTTGCGGGGGTTGAGCTCTGGCTCTTTGGTTCCGCCTCTCAACCGTCAATCAACAGGTGTACAGGTTCCTGAGCCTATTGGGCTCTATCATATCTACACTTGAAACTGTGTATGGAGTCAGCCTCCACCACATCACTGCCTAATGCATTCCATTTGTCAACCACTCTGTCACTAAAAAAGTTCTTCCTAATATCTCTGTGGCTCATTTGGGCACTCAGTTTCCACCTGTGTCCCCTAGTGCGTGTGCCCCTTGTGTTAAATAGCCTGTCTTTATCAACCGTGTGTAGGTGGGAGTGGCGATCCTGCGGGTCCTCCGTGTGGTGTTGCTCCCTCGTCTGGTGGCCGTGTATCCGACGTGGGTGCTGCTGCTTCAGTGGCGCTGCGTTCCTCTCGTGGCTCCAGAGGGCCTTCCCCGGTCGCGGCGTCGGATCAGCCCCGTTGGGGTGTTTTCTCCCTTCGAGTGATTTTTGTGTGTGCTATGTGCTGTGGTGTTATGTCAGCTTGTGTGCGTGAGGTGCGGTTGCGTGCGGGTGTGTGAGTGGGCCATGTTTGTTTTCCCGGTTCTTGTGTGCTCCGTGCTTGTTGTGTGGGTGTTGCTGCTCTTCGGGCTGCTTGTGTGGCCCCGCCTGTTTTTGTTCCAACTGTAGTGTTTGCCGATGTTATTTTCCTTTAGTTTTTGTGTTCATTTTTGTGTTTCATTTATTTTTATTGTCGTCATGTATTCATGCTGGTCGGCCGGCCGAGCGGACATCACGCTGGACTTGTGATCCTGTGGTCCTGGGTTCGATCCCAGGCGCCGGCGAGAAACAATGGGCAGAGTTTCTTTCACCCTATGCCCCTGTTACCTAGCAATAAATAGGTACCTGGGTGTTAGTCAGCTGTCACGGGCTGCTTCCTGGGGGTGGAGGCCTGGTCGAGGACCGGGCCGCGGGGACACTAAAAATCTCCGAAATCATCTCAAGATAACCTCAAGATGCCTCTCCGTGTGGTATCTGGGGCCAGTAGGGTTTTGTGTTGTTTCAATGGTTGGGTTGTTGGGTGCGGGTTTAGGCTCTTTGTACTTGTACTGTTGTAATTATTGCTTTTGTTGTCAGCCCTTCGGGACTCTAATTTGTATGTTTGTAATTTTGTACTTTTGTGATTTTGTGTACTTTGTGTTTTGTGTTTGTTCTCGTGTTATTGTCCTTGTACGCATGCTGACCTGTAACGCTTACGTTACCCTACTGTATTGTATTGTTGGTAATTTTGTACTGTGTTGCATTGTGTATATGCTCATTGTTTTTGTTGTCGGCCCTTCAGGCCGGTAATTAGTGTATTTGTATTTTGTGCTTTTGTAATTTGTCTGTATTCTGTTTGTTTTTGTTTTATTGTATTTATTCGCATGTAAAAATAACAATAAATAAAAAAAACTTATACGGCAAGTGTAAGCGGGTGCGCCCCCCCCCCCTCACACACAAACACACATTCCAAAAGTTGATAAATGTGAAATAAATATGGTAAGACATGAGCCATAGCAATAATAAAGTACCGATGACCAAAAAAACTAATGCCAGGTTCGGACCATATATGGTTGTTGAGCTTACCCTTATAGCTACAAGGAATTCCTCATAATTTATAGTCCCTTCGTCATCCTTGTCAAAAGCCTGGAAAAGCTTTTCGGTGTCCTCGTCGGTGAGCTTAAGACCCGTCTCCCTGATGCCCTTGGTGAACTCCTCCAGGTTGAGGCTGTGGGAGCCGTCGTCGTCCATCCTGCGGAACACCCTGCAACACAACGCTCCCATCACTACCTCAACTTTTGTAACATTAATGTCAACTCTCCGAGGAAAAAAAATCAGGATGAGTTCATTTCGTTTTTATTAAGTCTGGAAAAGTAGAACTACAGTTGACTTTGAAAATTACAATGAGAACATGTGGCAAGAATTATTTAATTAACACGTACTTAGTGCGAGGTAATGAATACATGAGGGGAACAAGAGGGAATATGAGGGGAACAAGAGGGAACACGAGAGAACACGAGGGAACACGACTAGCACCTGTAGGCAACCCGTCTCCCACAGTAATGTGGTCCCACGTACAAAACTGGGCTCCAGCAATCAACAATGTTCACGTTGTGTACTATTAATTTTGTGGAGGGCTCGAAACGAAAAAAAAAACTAAACATTCTTAGCCCTAGTATAGTACATGTACTATATTAGGCCTAAGAATGCGTATATTAGGCCTAGGATTGCTTGATTACGTTAGTTTCTATAGTTACTTTTCCATTTTTGGTACTATATGTCCAGTCCATTCTCCTAAGATGAAAGTACTTATAGTACTGCGGTAAAAAGTACAAATATACCGTGATGGACCACCAGGAAGAACACTTTTGCATTATTCAATTTGGACCAACTGGAAAAGTTGCTATATTTATGTTGCTAATAAAACCTAACCTAACTATCCTAGGCTAATTTTTTGTATATTCGTCTACAAAATTTTTGACGCCATGCTGAGTCATTAAGGAGCGAAAGTGATAACACTTTCGCTCCTTAATCTCGAAGGTTTTTTAATCTCTTTTAATCAAGGTTTTCCAGATATTATATTTGTGCACCTTAGTGAGGGCTGTGAGGCAGCCACCCTCACCTGAATGAGGGGTGTCATACACAAATAACACAAGACAAAACAATGATAAACTGACAAACATATCTATGTGCTAATATTACCGATGTATTGTAATTAAATCACCTTCGGCACCACAATCAACCTACTGCATGAATTATAACGTAAATTTAACACTAAAGCTAGACAATAAGGAGTTGCTTGGGTACAAAATAGAGAGAGATGATAGGGAGGGTGAGGACACTTACTTCCCCATGCCCATGATGCCGGCAGCGCCCCGACTCAGGCAGAGCAGTCGCAGCTTCTCCACAGGGTCGGTGGTCTGGGAGATCTTCCTACGGGCGATAGCCATCATATCCTCCTCATTCCTGGTGGAGGCTGTCCTCGGCCGGTTCGCCATACCGTTGCTGGCCAGAGAGAGAGAGAGAGAGAGAGAGAATTTAACCCACAGTGCTGCTGCTGTGCTCCACAAACACCATAAATGCAAAATTTCGTCATTACTTGTACTAGTATGTACTAGCTCTATCTAGAAATCACACATTCTGTTTGTAACTGATCTCGTATGTATGTTGTTTTACCTGAATAAACTTGCGCTCCGGTAATGTGAACACACCATACACTTTACCAAAACATTAACTAACAAGTGGGAACAGATATAGTACATAGGGAAACACTGGAACTTTATTTACTAATAAAGTTTTAACTCTATGACCTCTCATAGGATTCGAACTCAGGCCGCCAGAGGTCTCCCCAGCAGCAGCAGTGGTGCTCTCACCACTGCACCAGTCATCGTCAGTAAGTGTTGGCTGCTCATGGAACTTATCTGCACAGGGTCCATGATCAACTTACACCCGACGACACTCGTGGCATAGAGTTAAAAGTGATATATGTGCTTGGGGACCATTCAAGATTGTTCGAACCGCAGATTACGTAAACAACAGCCTACAGCTCTTCCCACTGAGAAAACAGCATCCTTTAGTAAGGAAGGATTCCAGAGACACTTGTCTGCTGTCCAACTGAAACTTGAGACCTTCCATGGGGTATATTGGGGCTGTTCTTGAGAATCTTCTGATATATAGAAAAACTGCTCGACAGAGAAGAACAAACGCAACAGCAAGCAACCCCTCCCATAACACTATTACAGATCCACTATGCTTTTACAATATAAAATAGAAAGAATGGTATCAAGCTTAGGATGTGTGAAAGATTACTCTGTAAGTTGTCTGTCAACAAGTTGGACTTTCATTTCAAAGGTGCGATTACTCATAAAATTCTTCTTAATTAATAAAGTTATCGAATGCTTTCTACCTTAGTGGCTGATGTTAAAAGTTATCTAAATGTTTCACCCGCGAGAGCTGGTATTAGTAAAGTTCTCAAAGGGGTTTCAACATATTTACTGCATTTTCCTGCTCCAAACCGTGGCATGGTGCAAGAGATAGTGTAGTGGACCACGTCCTCAGCAACACCCACAGTCCTTGAAGACAAGTGTCCAGTCATTCGTTCTTGTCATCGTAAACAGCGACTAGTCAGCCAATTACGCTTGATAAAACTGCCTCACCAATTCCATTCTCGTTTACCTCGGCTCCTATTATTCCCGTTGTTGGCGTTCACGTCACATAATTTAAAGCAACATTTTAAAATCGAATGTTACAGTAGACAAGAGACACTCTTCACCCGGCCACAGGCAGGCTGGGTTCCTTAAAGCATGGTCAAATGACACGATTTGTCACAATATGACCAATTTTTACTTTTTATAATATAATATTATTATTATTGAATATAAAAACGGCGTCTATTAGCCACACTAAGATATTAGGGGTCACTCGGTCACTATATTTTGTTTTCATCCTGTACTGTGTTTTATGCCTTTTTTGCTCTACTTATTATGTTTTAACCTTGCATTTGTTAGGGATAAAGGCTAGTAGCCTTCCCAGACCATCTCTGGAGAATGTTGTCTTCATCTCGCAATGCAATGCATCTCCTCAGTTCTGCTTTGTCTCATTAGCTTATCATCATCATCAGCAAACATTGATAAGAGTGAAGAGGGACTTATCAGGGGGAAAGCGCCAAGTAATTATACAGCACTTGAAAGGGATCAAGATAAGGATTTGTGATTGGGAAGGAATAGTGCCCAACCACTGGGATGGTCGGGGGCCCGTCCAAGTGGTTGGGTAGATGTAAGAGTGAACTTCTGTTACGCACAGAAATTACAATAGCGTGATATATCAAATGAACAAATGAACAAATGCACTTCTGTTAAATCGTTTACGTATATTAGGCACAGGATGGGCCCTAGTACCGACCCTTGAAGTATTCCACTCGTCATCTTCCTCTTGCTGTGACTCTTGGTCTTCACCCAGATTATTTCTCCCATACATCAGTGTTATTCCCTAGTTTGTGTAGGAGTCTCTTGCCAGGAAGTGTCAAGATTGATTGATTGATGAAGATTAAGCCACCCAAAAGGTGGCACGGGCATGAATAGTCCGTAAGTGGTGGCCCTTTTAAGCCATTACCAGTATCAAGAGCTGATACTGGAGATCTGTGGAGGTGCGACTGCACCCTGCGTGACGGGAGATGTCTCCCGGACCAAATGGTGACCAGATGGTGGAAGTGTCAAGAGCCTTCTGGTAGTAAGGCATATGCCGTCTGCCTCTTCCACTCCTTCTCTCTCTTTCTCCTGTTTGAACGTCTTGTGTGTGTATATTCACCTACTTACATGCACCTATTGTGCCTGCAGGATCCAGCTGTTAGCTCTTGGACCCCGCCTTTCTCCAGGATGTAACCCACAACAATTATCTATTTCCCAAGTACCTATTTACTGCTGGTGAACAGAGGTAACAGTTGGATATAAATTAATGTAGAGTAATGTGTTGATGGCATCGGTTAGATCTTCACCCCCAGTAGGGGCGGGGCTGGCGGCAAAGGGGGCGGGGCTGGCGGCAAAGGGGGCGGGGCTGGCGGCAAAGGGGGCGGGGCTGGCGGCAGAGGGGGCGGGGCTGGCAGACATAAAAGAGAACATTATGCACGCTCTTCAAGGACGGCCCCCCCCCCCCCGAACGGACGTTACACGAGATGGCATAACAGTTGTTGTTGTTGTTTTAGATTTATCTACTCAGAACAAAATGTCCATGTAGCACGGGCTATGGTGAGCCCGTAACCGAGTTCGGTTATTCGCGATAACCTTGTTACTGTGATATTTGGGTCAAAGTTTTAAATGAAAGTGGGGTTTCCTCCTTTTCTCTGGTTTCATTTTTAGCGCACTGGTTTTAGTCTTGTTTTAATAACATTATCTTGGTGGTGGATATAGATGCACAGTGTTCACTAGTGAGTCCCGTTGTTCTGAGTCCTCCTTAGGTAATGGTTGTTGCTCGGTCATAGACTTCTGTTAAACCTTGAGGAACAATTGAAGGGGCTGGTGAGTGAGTGAAGGGGCTGGTGAGTGAGTGAAGGGGCTGGTGAATGAGTGAAGGGGCTGGTGAGTGAGTGAAGGGGCTGGTGAGTGAGTGAAGGGACTGAAGAGTGAGTGAAGGGGCTGGTGAGTGAGTGAAGGGGCTGGTGAGTGAGTGAAGGGGCTGGTGAGTGAGTGAAGGGGCTGGTGAGTGAGTGAAGGGGCTGGTGAATGAGTGAAGGGGCTGGTGAATGAGTGAAGGGGCTGGTGAGTGAGTGAAGGGGCTGGTGAGTGAGTGAAGGGGCTGGTGAGTGAGTGAAGGGGCTGGTGAGTGAGTGAAGGGGCTGGTGAGTGAGTGAAGGGGCTGGTGAGTGAGTGAAGGGGCTGGTGAATGAGTGAAGGGGCTGGTGAGTGAGTGAAGGGGCTGGTGAGTGAGTGAAGGGGCTGGTGAATGAGTGAAGGGGCTGGTGAGTGAGTGAAGGGGCTGGTGAGTGAGTGAAGGGGCTGGTGAGTGAGTGAAGGGGCTGGTGAATGAGTGAAGGGGCTGGTGAGTGAGTGAAGGGGCTGGTGAGTGAGTGAAGGGGCTGGTGAATGAGTGAAGGGGCTGGTGAGTGAGTGAAGGGGCTGGTGAGTGAGTGAAGGGGCTGGTGAATGAGTGAAGGGGCTGGTGAGTGAGTGAAGGGGCTGGTGAGTGAGTGAAGGGGCTGGTGAATGAGTGAAGGGGCTGACGAGCATGAACCACTGGAAAACCTGAAAATAATAATCTAGTAATTGCAAGGAATGAGAGGGGGAGTGAATACATGAGTCATGAAAGAAGAGGCAGGTGGGTGAGGGGGAGGGGAGGGGAGGGTGTGAGGGTACACAGCTCTTGTGTGGCTCCCCCTTCACCCCCCCCCTCCCCTGTCCAAGGTCACGTGATCACTCCCCCACACCGCCACTCGTCTGAACACGTAACAGCAGGAGACTAGCGGGTAGGTGGTAAGTGCGTGTTCATTAGGACGTACACTTGCACACTACATCAGCACAATGTGAACGTCAGGAATGCCAGCGTGGCGGGGGAACAGGGTCGAGGGGTGGTAGGAAAGGCTTTTGGGCTCCTGTGTTGGGGGAGAAGTATGTTAAGCAGTGGCGGGAGAGTTATACACAACCACCCCCCTGCACGCAACATACAATGTTGCGTGCAGGGGGATCCATACCATACACAGCAAATTGTTTTCCCTCATACATCTAAAACTTGCCAAGAAGTGTCGTAAGATTTAACATATGTACCGACAGTATAGAGCAGAGCGCCGCCCCGGCTTCCGGGAACACATCCCGCCCAAATCCTCACACATCACTCTCACCAAAGCAAACTTTTCGCTCCACATAAAAACTCAAAGTTTAAAAACAACAGGAAAACTAAAATATTTAGTTATAAAAAAATATATATATGTTCCGGGTGGGACAGAAATGATTAGGCACGTTTCCTTTTACATAATAATAATAATAATAATAATAATAATAATAATAATAATAATAATAATAATAATAATAATGGCTAATATTTACTAATACTTATTAGATAAGTAAGGTGTATTAGTGTCAGGCTTTCAGCATGATGGGAGTGCCACAGTGTTGCTATACCACACACGTGAACGCGTACCCGGTGGTGCCCGGGACAGCGTCTTCCTCCCATCTCAATTCTTTCTCCCTCTCCTTACATCCCTGCCCTTACCCCATCTTTCCCTCTCCCCCTCTTTCCGTTTGGCCTCCGACCTCCAACACGCCACCATTTCCATATATGGATATATGTATGCTAAGGTGGGGTACCCGGCTGTTCTCGGGTCTCTCTCCGTCCTTTCCTCACTGCCCTTCTCTCCCTATCTTATCCTCTTTCATCTCTGTTTCTCTCTCCCCGTCTCCTTCCACCTCTCCACCTGTCTCCTCTCTTTTCAAACATCCCCTGTATCTATCTTCTCTGTCTATGCCTGTTTGCCTGCCCCTGGTGGGGTCTCAGCGTTGTTGTCTGTTAGGTCATTA